TTTTATTCCTCTCGCTTTTCAGTACAATAAAATGGGTCTATGAAAAGTAATCCGGGCAAATTCAACTCAATTGTACGAAAGCATGTGTGGACCGAACTCACCCATAAAGCCTTCGTCATCCTGGAACGTTTTCATGACCTGACGTTTGACATGATGTTTCTTTCCGGAATGCGAATTGTCCACAAATTTAGAACACGAAGAACAGCTGCTAGCCGTTTTCGAATTGACTTCCACATTGGCTGAAGACTGGACAGAGGCAACCGGTGAGTCTGGATTCTTCTTCTTCCTCTTCTTCTGTTTCTGTTGTTGAGTAGTGCTGCTGCTGCTGCTACCGCTTTGTTCGGTCTTTTGCTCCCCCTGTGACTTTCGACCACGTGGGGCGATTGGAGAATCTGTTTCAGAATCTGTGACGAGAACTTCTTTGTGAGCTAAAATTAAACCGATTTACTGATGAACACGATTTGTCAAATGTGTAGACATATAGCAACTTCAAAATGCATTTCAACAAACAGTCACTAGAAAATCAGAAACCAACCACAGAGATTATTATTTTTTAATTTGAAAACAAGCATGAAAACGGATGACAAGAGCCCAGTAGTCGGTAGATCTGTTTCCCCTAATTTGCAGCAACTAAATGGCTAACGCCAGTGAGAAAATTGACGCAACACAGCCGACAAGGTACAACTGACGCCTAACAATGAACCGTTCCAAAACAAACAAGCAAAACCCGGGACTGCATTACTCATTTTGTTTATGTTGCACTCATCTCTGTCAGAGGTATTAACATTTAGCAGTTCGGTGGCCCGGTGGTAACGTCACCAAATTATCACCCCGGGGATGTGTTCGAATCCCATTACTATCGCCTAACTTTCCCTATTGTGTGTTGAATGACAGCCCTTTGACTGGCCGCTTCCCCTTCCTGAAAACTGTATCTTTGAATATTCAGTAAAAGAAAGTAAAATGAAAAGAAAAAAAGTGTCGGTGCCGTTAATCTGCAATCCGCCTTGTGATTCGGACTAGATGACTGAACGCTACTGACTTCAACTGTGCACCTCTGAATGACAATGTGACCAGTTCACGCTTTACGTTACCAGTTTTACCTGAAAAATACACAATTTTCGTTAATTTACCTGGCGGTTTTATTGTTTTCGTTGGTTTCTTTCCCGAAGAAATGTTCACCTTATCCGAGACTTCGGGCTTGTTTGAATCTGTCGTAATGGCTGGAGGCGGATCCATTTCTTCATCTGACTCCACAATGATTCGCTTGCGCTTTGCGCTTACCGTAACTGCCGAAATAGAAAGTTATCGGTAAACAAAGACGTACCAGAACTGGTCAAGAATTCCTCTTCATCGTCTGTTATATTTGCCTCCACAACCACAGGAGATTTGGAAACTGGTTTGTTTTCTTTCTTGGAGTCATTGAAAGTTCTTTTAAAAAAATATGATTGAAAATAGATCAACTCACGATGGGCGTTTGTGAACTGGTTTGGGAGGCGGTGCAGTCACTAAAGATAAGGGGTGGATGGGTGGAGTTACGAGCACGTACCTGTATCTATTTTGGTTTTATTTTTGGAGATTGGAGCAAAGAAATTTTTCACATCAACAGTTTTGACGTGGGGATTTTTTTCCACTGAGAATGATAGAATGTAGGGGTGAAACGCCAGCTCACCTGCGGTCGGTTTCGAGACAGACACCGACGACCCCGTCATTACAGCGGGGACTTGTGGAACACGGTTTGCGGTATTGTTCTCTGTGACCGCTAGAGGTACTCTTGAACCAGCCCTGGGCTCCCACGGAATTGTGGTAAGTCTTAAGGATTCAATAGTTTACTGATAATGGACTGATTTGACAGCTGACCTCTTCAATTTGTCCACTGGCAAATTTGACCACACATCAATACTGGCTAGAGCAGATGAACTCTCGAGAATAAAAAATATTTTCGTAGTAGAAAAAACATACAATATGGGCTTTTCGATGTAAGCTGTACACTACTTTGGTTGGAGAAGAGCTAAAAGCCTCGGCGGCCTGCTTCATTTTCTCTTGCGGAACCAATCGGACGACTAGCTGACCCTGTGAGTCCAGACCGGACAATAGATATACAGCTGAAATATGTTTTCGAGCACACAGATAGTTCTCCAACAAGCTGAGCTGGGGTAAGTGAGGAATCGGGTACATACCGTTCTGATTCCGGAATAGGCACATCGAAACTGACGGATATCCACTTGGCCGTTATCTTTTCGTTTTGCAAATGTGGCATGAGAATTCCGAGATCTTACCACTGATGTTTCGTCTTCAAACTTCTCATCCAGATTATCGAACATCATCTGATTTTCCATGACTTGAAACAAATCAGCGCGGCTGAAGAAGATAAACAATAACAATTGATCAACTTGCCCTATTTAGGCCTGATGGTGATGTGTTGGACATGAAAAACTCTACAATCCCATAGCTGTAAAATGTGCTTAGGGTGTTGTTCACTCAAGTAGTTATTTCATGTTCTGCGTTCGCCGTTGGGGAGCACAAATTATTCCTGGTACCCGGAGAAAGAAACAATACCAACTGGTTCCCCAAGTGAGGCGTCGCCAAAATGTACAACCCACTACGAAGTTTAGCAGACAAGAAGAAATCAAGCGAACTACGCGGACACAGTTGGTTAACTCGAAAGTCATCGTTACAGGAACTTCAGTAATATTATTCTTTCAACGTGATGAATATATTTGTGATGACCGACAGCTGTTTCGTCCATTTTAGGACTCGTCAGCAGTTTGTACTTTTTGTGTCCCTGCCAGGACTCAACCCGATCTTCCAAAGAGTGTAACTTACACCCAAAGTCATCAAGAGTGCCTGGTGCCTGTGAAAATTCGAGTGGTATTATCCCAATTTGATAACCTAAATCAATCTATCAACTTCGAATTAATCAATATAAAACAGTTACAAATAATGTTTGATAACAGGACCATGGTCGACTGATGGCTGAAAAACAACAAAAACAACCCCCATACTCGATGCATGCAAGTGTTGTTTAATCAAATAGGAAAGTTTGGCCAAAAGAGCACCTTTTACTTATGTCTTCTGACCAGTTACTTGATTGTTTAGGTTATTCAGGACAATTATATTTCCAAGGGATCAGCAATTTGTTTGTTTCAAATGATAAGCAATACTGGCGATCGACAGATGTCACTTAGGGAAACAATTGGTGATCAAAGTGGGACGGGTGATCTATGGCGAAGAGTAACAGCCGGACATTGCTTTCTAGTTTTTACGACTGACTCTTTGGAGACAATAAGCCGGCTTCATGGAGATCCTGGAGTTAAGCAGAGCTGAATGCTATCAGACGTGTCCCTGGGTTGTGGATAAAAAGGGGACACCTTCAGAGAAGGTTGGCTGCGGATAAGTTGTGGCATTTCGCAGCAAATAACCAGTCGCGAACAAACTGCGGCGGCACTATCAGGGTGTGGTGGGTTTCAGGCTGATCATCTGGCTCCTGTTTAAAGACCGCATAAGCCCAATGACGGTGTCGGGATAAAGGTTGATGAGATTGATCTTTTAAAACTGAACCCCTCACTTCCGAGGTGAGGGATTACTTCCTGCTGCCTTGCAGTTCGCACTTGAGTGTGCAAAGAATAGAGGTGTGCCCCCAAAATAAAAAAACTGAGTGACGCTGGGGACGGTTCTCCTTTCAAGCTTCCAAGGAACTTCATGATTACGATCATGTCTGGAGCTGGCTTATCCTTTCCAAGGAGCCAGTCGCAGTAAAGTAAGATCATGACGTTGCATGGAAGTTCAGTTCAGTTCAGTTCTCACAACCATTAACCATGCACTTTCGTGCACCGGTTTTGGTTGTCCATTTGGATAAAATAGCAGAATGATGATTAGAATGTTGAGAGCAGCGAAAGGTAGCCCATTTTCATAGACTGAAGTTACATGAGTAATGAGGAGATGCATGAGCGCCACTGTTTGCGACACCAAGCCATATCGCTCAGTGTCTCTAACCACCGATAACCATGATCTCGGGGTCCCCATCCAGGGAGCCTAACGCGACCTATGTGAGCCAGTCTCCTGGTTAAGGTTTTCATACCCTCATGCCATGTCTTAGCTTGACCGCCCTTCATTTTTTCCAACCGCTACCTGCCTTGCCAAGCATCGCTCGCCGTGGTAACCTATTTGGTGACATGCGTAACACATGTCCCAACCAGCTTAATCTATGGAGGTCGACACAGAGCATGGTCCGTGTCCACAGTTGTTGATCAGTAGCGGTCTCCATGTAAGACGGTGGCGTTTTTTGTGCAAGAAGTTCGTGCTTGACAGAAACAGTCCGTGGTCAGCACAAAGTTCGAGTAGGCGTTCTCCGTTGTCAGTCCTGTTGGCTGAGATTGTATGTGAGCCTGCAAGTAGCCTCTCTGATTCGTCCAGGGATTCCACTTGAGCATTGAAGTCTCCAGTGACCACCACGATGTCCGTTGACCGAGCGCTTCGGAGCAGTTGAGAGAGGTCCTTGTAGAATTTATCCTTCACTTC